GTATTTTGAATAGACTATTTCTATTAAAAACCATCATGAAACTTTCCCTTTTATTTTTCTTTCTAAAGAAAAGAAAAAGAAATCACTTGTTATCTCTGTGACTTTGGGCAAGTTATCACATATCTTCACTGACTTAGTTTTTTTTTTTATTGGTTGTTCAAAACATTATAAAGCTCTTGACATATCATATTTCATACATTAGATTCAAGTTGGTTATGAACTCCCAATTTTACCCCAAATACAGATTGCAGAATCACATCGGTTACACATCCACATTTTTACATAATGCCCTATTAGTAACTGTTGTATTCTGCTACCTTTCCTATCCTCTACCATCCCCCCTCCCTCCCCTCCCATCTTCTCTCTCTACCCCATCCACTGTAATTCATATCTCTCCTTGTTTATTTTCCCATTCCCCTCACAACCTCTTATATGTAATTTTTTAACATAAAAGAGGAGTAATAACATTTATTACTTATTACTTATTATTTATAGGCTTATAGACATTAAATAAGCTAATATGTATAAAATATATATATATAGAATAGTCCTGATAAGTATTTTATGTGTTAGCTAAGATGATTTTAACTCTTATTTTACAAATAACCCTCACTTTTAATGTGCTGGATAATTAATGTCTTTTATGCCTCTTGTGTATATTTATATACCAGTCCCTCTCTAAGCTACATTTTAGCTCTTCTAATATTCTGGCTCTTGAATATTTTCCCATGTTAGCCTGTCCATTTCTTCCCACAACCAGGCCAGCCTCCACCTGTGTGAACAGGTTTGCCAATGAACATGGCTTTTCCTCTCATTGACTTTCCTGCCATGTGACTGCCATCATCTTTTTGCCCTCCAGCCTTCTAACAGGTTAGAACAAAATAGCCTTCTGTTAATGACTGCCTCAATATTTTTCTTTCATGGAATTACTATTGCCATTTCTTTTTTCTCCCCAAAGTGTTTATTGGGGAAATAAAACAACTTTTTTTTTTTTTAATCCTAATGAGTGTGATTATGTCTTGTGACAGTTTTAACTCCGAGGTCAATTTTTCTCAATGCCTCCACAAGGGGAGTGATGACAAAGGAAAGAGAAGACTGAAGAAGGCATACATGGGATAGGGACAGAAAGGCAAGTAGCTGGAGTAGTGGGGAATGACCTCATTACAATCCTACACAACCTTGTGTAGTTCCATTAAGCCTCTGAATCATTAGCTTACACTGTGCTGTTAAGGACTTGGATTGGAACCAATGAGAGGTGCATGTACATGGACCGTCTTGCTTATGCTTCAGGGAATTGTTGTACAACCCCTGTGACAAGTTTAGCTAAAGAAGTGCTTGCTTCTGTTTCCTTTGATTAGTCTCTTTTTGACCTTGGCTAACCCAGGTCACCCACCCTCTCTGTGCTTCAGTGAAATAGAATCCAGGACTGTGATTACTCTGAGGCATCAATATCAAGCTATAAAGGGCTGATCAGTGGACTGGGCCAAAACCATGAGGTCAAGAGTAGATGAGATGGCAGAAGTCAGTCCCTTCTTAAAACCTCTGAAAGCATCTGTCTTATGAGCCAACATCGAAGCATAGGTTTTAAGTGGAAACCTCACAGGCACTGAAAATCAGTAAGGGGATTAGATTTAAGGAAGCTGAGTAAGGCAAGAAGGATTGAGTTTATCAAAGAATGAATTAGGTTTATATTCTATAAAACTTATTACCATAACCTGTGAGTAATAATATAGAGCAACACATACTTGTTATCTTGCATCTATGAATCAGAAGCTTGGGCACAGTTTAGTTGGGTCTTCTGCTTAGGGTCTCACAAAGCTGAAATCAAGGTGACTTCTGGCCTGCATTCTCATCTGAAGGGTCAAATGGGGGAAGAATTCACCCACAAGATCCCTCAGGCAGAATGCATTTCTTTGTGACGTTTGTGTCAGTGTAAACTTGCTTCTCTAAATCTAGATGGAGAAATAGAGATAGCAGAGGGAGAGGGTTTAACATAGTAGTCACTACATCTTATGTAATCACATATGCATGATCACATACATTCTATCACTTTTGCTGCTCTTCAAGTCAAAGTTCTTACTCATGTTCAAAGGGAAGAGATTATCCTGGACCATGAACACCAGGAGGAGGGGTCAATTGGAGACTTCATAGGTATGCCAAGTCTGCCCAGGTATCTGCCACACAAGGATTATAGACTGTGTTCATGGACATTTAAGAATAGGAGAAACCAAATGTCTATTGACAGATGGACAAATAAAAAAAAATATGTTCTATATGTACATAAGGGAATATTATGCAGCCTTGGAAAACAAGGAAGTTCTAATACACGCTAAAGCATGGATGAAACTTGAAGATATCATACAAAGTATAATGTAACTCAAACACAAATTGACAAATATTTTAAGTTTCTACTTACATGAAGCATGCTATGGTGTATATTTTGAATGTCCCCCAAAGATCTGTGTGTCAGAGGCTTGATCCCCAGCCTGTAGTGGTATTGGGAGATGGTGGAACCTTGAGGAGGTGAGGCCTAGTATAGGAATTAGGTCACTGGGGGCATGACCTTGAGAGGGATATTTGGATACTGGATCCTTCCTTCCTCTCTCTCTCTCTCTCTCTCTCTCTCTCTCTCTCTCTCTCCACTTCCTGTCTGCCATGATGTGAACAGCTTTGCTTCACCACATGCTCCCTGTCATGGTGTTCTGCTTTTCCAAAGACTCTAAACACAGTCAAAGACCATGAATTGAAATGTCTAAAATCATGAGAGCCAAAATAAACCTTTTTTCTTATAAGTTAATTATCTCAGGTATTTTGTCACACTGATGAGAAGTTAGCACAAGGCATCTAGTTCTAGCAAAATCTGGAAACAGAATGGTGGTTTCTAGAAGAGGAAGAAGGAATAGGGAGTTGTATATATCAGAGTTCTCTAGAAAAGTAGAATCAATAGGATGTGTACATACATAGAAAGAAATTTATTATAAGGAATTGACTTAAATGTTTATAGAGGCTGAAAAGTCCAAATCAGAAGTGAGGGTCAGTAGCCCGAGGGTCCAGGAGAACTGATGGTACAATTTCTGTCCAAAGGCCAGCAGGTGAAGAAGACCCAGAAGGGCTAGGAGAGGTAGTTTTTACCCAAAGTCCATATGCGGGAGAATTTTTTCTTATTTGTGGGGAGGTTAGTCTTTTTGTTCTTCAGTCCTTCAGTTTTTGGAAGAGATCCACCCACATTATGTGTTGAAATGTGCTATATTTTACTAATTAATATGTTCATCCCATCCCCAAACACCCTATCTTGGCACCTGATGGCCCAAACAAAACTAACTGTAAAATTCACCACCACAGGAGTTATTTATTGGGTACAGAGTTTCAGATGGAAAAAATTTTAAAAGTTCTGGAGGTGGATTGTGGTGCTGACTGTATAACAATACAAATTTAATTAATTCCACAGTGAACAGTGTGTCTGAAATGGTTAAAATGGCAACCTTTTTATGCTATGAAATGTTAGTGGCATGTTAAGTAACTATGGGAATAATAAAGTGTCCTTTTTATTTCAGGATCTATTAATTCATTATTAATGGAATTTCCTAAGATTTTATTCAAGTGTGAGTCACCAGGGTTGTTGCAGAAATGTGTCCCATCAGGACCTTGCTTCCTGGCACTCACATTTCAGGGAACTGGCAAGGGGCTTGGTGATAAAGGTAAGTAACATTTTCTGGCTACCAGCTGATTTGATAAGGATGTATTTGCTACATGTTGATAATTGTGTGTGTGAACTATGTCACAGAGCAAAACATTAAATGGCAAAGAAGCTGTTTTCAATTTGGTATTAGATACACTGCACAGAAAAAGAGAATGCAGGAAAAACTTAGGGAGACAGAAGAAAATGGAATCCTAATAAGACTGTCAATATTGGTTATTTTTACTAATTAGTTTCCTAGAGACTTTATTTATTTCTCCATTCTTCTGTTAGCTATCTCTTCCTTCTTTTCCTTTCCTTTTCTTTTTTCCCCCCAAAGTGGTTTAAAGCAAATTTTAGAATCATGTTACGTTTTACGTAAATACTTCAGAAAACATTTTTAGAAGATATGGATATTTTTTAGAAGTGCACATACTTTCAAAGAGATATTTCTTTTCTGATGAGGTGATCGTGAAGGAAAAATAGATGAGGAGTCTATCCATGAATCCAGGTAGTTAGACATACTTAAGGGGAGTGCACAGAAGAATGTTTGTGACTTGAGTCAATCACTGGTTAGACCAAAATGTATTATTTGCTGGGCAATTTATCTGTGCTAAATACTAGAACTAATAATAGTTATAACAAATATTTATTGAGTTCTTGTTATATTTCAAATACCAAATTGAAAACAGCTTTTCACTTTCACTCATTGTCTCATTTGAATCCCTATAGCAACATTACCAAGTAGACATTATCTCCACTTATAGACAGAGACATTGATCAGTGTTAAGTAATTCCCCAAGAGGAAAGACCAAGGGAGATATTTGAAACTAGCTTATCTAGTCTAATAGTTCTCTCTACTGCTATTATATGGCCACTGTATGTACCCCAAATTCAGTTCTAAAATTACCCAGAGCACCCTCTTGGAAATGGGAGTCATATGTGATTATCAATTAAAACAATGAGAATTATTAAAAAGTGTTAATTATAAGATATTATATACAGTTTGCCACAGCAAAAATTAACAAGCAAATGTGAATATTGGGCTAAATGCACCCTCTTCCATAAATTTAATATGACTTACTTTCTGTGAATTTTGGCATCCTTATCTAATGAGTACATACAACTTTTTCCCTCTAAGACTCATGGAAAATACGTTTTTCCTTTCATAAATTGCTTACTGAAATATTAGAATCACCACTTTCCCCACCTGCAATAGATGTAACCCAAGAATTTGCGTCAGTCAACTTCCCAATATGAAGCAAAGACTCCCTTCCTCCCAGGGATGATTGAGTCATTTTTCTATTAGATAACAGAAGCTATTTAAACACTCCAGCAGAAGCTCATACGCTTGTAGTTTGTTGAAGTCCTTGACTGCTACACTCTCTGATTCTTGGCATGAATTTGGAAATGACTTTTGATGACCTCAAAATGAAGCCTAGGAAGGATCAGCCTGACCAGAAGTTAAATGGAGAGAGAGCTAAAGGTACTAGGGGTGGGTAAAAGTGTACAGGGAAAGAATACCGGGGTTAGTTCAGAAATGTAAATTTATTGAAGAAAGGAGTTAAAATACTAAAACATCCAAGTGTAGGAAAAGAGAATTAATCCATTTAATGAAAATTATTACCATTTAAGGAAAACAAATAGTATATAATGGTGGTGATGATAACTTATACTGCATATTTTCTACAAACTATTCTCTATGCTATTCATTTTAAATGTTTATTTTTTAGAATGTTCAAATAATACTTTGAGATCCATAATTATCTCCCTTTTATTGAGGGCCAACTGGGATCAGGAGGATTAACAAAATCACCCACATTTATGGAGCTAGTAAGTAGTAAACTAGAATTATATCACAAACTCTCATTTATTAGAATCCAATCCATGAGATGGTTCAGAAAACAAATTCATCCACTGTGTACAGTCATAATTTTTGTTTATACTTGAGGCACTGCAAATGCACTCTGAAATGTTTTATGAATTATGCAAAACAAGTTAAATGATACACAGTATGGATTAGCATAAATTATGTTCTATTGTATATAATTGTTTGAAAATTTATACTTTCTGTTTGACACACACAGATTAAATTAAACTGCTTAGGTATACATTAATTCATAAGTCCATCTCCACAGGCAACCTGGATAAATTGCCTTTTATTTTATATTCATTCTAAAGAAAAAGAAAAAAAGGAGAGGAAGACAGAGAAGTATTGTCAGAAATTCGGATAAAGAAATTTCAAATCATGTTTCTATAAACAAGATAGAAATGTCTTTCAATGGGTAAAATGAGCATGGAATGATGTAACCCTTGAGTTGATGAACTAACTTGGTATGAAAACAGTGAAACATTTATTGGTAGACTTACAAGTTAACAATTGACATTTGTTTATTCATTCCTTCACTCAATCATTCATTCAGTATTCATGTAGTAAATGTTGAGTACCTGTCTCTTGATATAATTATAAAATTCATTCTGCTTTCAAAATCCTGATTAGATAAGTTATCTACTGAGAAACATCTGATTACTTTCTGATGAGAAAGTCACTAGCAGGAATGGGGAATGAATTAATGGTCTCTGAAGAACAAAGCAGTCCTCTAGATAATAGAAGATGTGCCTTTCTATTATCTATTATTTCTATTATCTGGTGTTCTGTAATTTTTTTCCTTCTAAAAATTCAGAAGTTTCATCATTCAAGAGTGGTAGGCATATCTGATGTCCTGTAATTTGAAATTAATTGTAAATTGAAATGACCAGAGAGAAAGGTCAGTTGGGACTTACAGAGATACATGCTAGGAATAGGCAATAACTTGCAAGAAATGAAACTACTTTCTACTTCTTCATTGCCAGTTTGTCACACACACGCAAAGAGAATCTGAATACTGAATCACTGAATGAGCTATCTTCTACCCTGTCAAAATTTTGATTTTTCTTTTGATACATGAGAATTTTGTGAATATTTGATCATCAATTGACTTGTATTGTTACACATTTACACTGGAAATTTTGGAATGTAATATTCCAAGCAGTCTGGCTATTGACAACTGGATTAAAGTCCTATGTTTGGGTTTTATCATCCGTATATTCTTAAGGTAGTTATTAAACTTTTCTGTTTTCCTCTTTACTTAGAGAGGTGAACAATACTGGTGCTTTATTTTTTTTATTTCACAAGAAGAGGAAATCAAATTCCTTGTATGGGATTTTTTTTTTTTTTGCTGAACTGGTAACCTCTGTTTTTTGAGTGGTGGAACTCATAAATGGACCTTTATATGACTGTGAAATTCATGACTTATTTTCATAAAAATAAGAAATTTTTCTCTTATAGTAACAGGCCTATAGTTGCTGTGACATGATAGATATAAATATAGTTGCATAACATAGTTGTAATTATAATTATAGGACATACTATTAATATAAGCTAAGTGCATATCAAGATTTCATTCCTATTTTTCTTTGTTCAATAACTCCAGATTCCAGATATAATTTTAGTGGAATAAAAATTGAACAGCATAAAATTATGCATGGGATTCCTTGAGGAAATCCCAGTTGACTCATTGACTAAAGTTCATTTGCTTGATATCTGATATTTATTTATATTGTGTTACTTGTAAGACACTGTGTGTGTGTGTGTGTGTGTGTGTGTGTGTGTATGTACATGTGTACTCATATATGATCTATAATACAACTTCAGGCTTTCTGTGCTGTGGATGAAATTGATCCAACCAAGATGGATTGAGAGTTCCGTAAAGAGTCATTGTATTGAGAAAGTCAGTTCCTAAGACAACATGATGAAGAGTTGGACCTAATTTTTCTTTGAATAGATGCAGGGTCTCTGGTCTAATGCCTAGGACCATTATCCACTTAGAGTTTTGTACAGGGTGACACATAGGGGTTCAATTTCTACTACATATAGATTTCCAGTTTTCCCAGCACCATGTGTTGAAGAGGCTATATTTTCTCCAATGTATATTTATGGTACCTTTGTCTAGGATGAGATAACTGTGTTTATGTGGGTATATCCCCACCCCCACATCTGTGCTGTTCCATTGGTTTTCATGTCTATTTTGGTGCCAATTCATATACTAACAAAAATACTATATACTAACAAAATATACCATATACTAACAAAAATCATGCCATTTTTGTTAGTATAGCTCTGGTAATTTAAGGTTTGATATTGTGATACCTACTGCATCACTTTTCTTGCAAAGGATTGCTTTGGTTATTTTGGGCCTCTTATTTTTCCAAATTAACTTTATGACTGCTTTTTATATTTATATAAAGAACATCACTGGAATTTTAATAGGAATTGCATTAAATCTGTATAGTGCTTTTGGTAGTATGGTCATTTTGATAATATTAATTCTGCCTATCCAAGAGCAAGGTAGATCTTTCCATCTTCTAAGGTCTTATTTGATTTCTTTCTTTAGGGTTCTGTAATTTTCATTATATAGATCTTTCATCTCTTTCATTAAGTTGATTCCCAAGTGTTTTTTTTTTTTTTGAGGCTATTGAAAATGGGGTAGTTTTCCTCATTTCCCTTCTGAGGATTTGTCATTGATATACAAAAATGCCTTTGATTTATGGATGTTGATTTTATATCCTACTACTTTGCTGAATTCATTTACTAGTTCTAGAAGTTTTCTGGTGGAACTTTTAGGGACCTAGCTTCCTTAATAAGACTCCTGTGGTACAAGAATTAAAATCAAGAATCAATAAATGGGATGGACTCAAACTAAAAAGTTTCTTATCAGCAAAAGAAACAGTCTGGGAGGTGAATAGAGAGCCTGCATCTTGGGAGCAAATATTTACCCCTCACACATCAGAGTGCTATCTCTAGGGTATATAAAGAAGTCAAAAATCTAAACACCAAAAATACAAATAACCTAATCAATAAATGGGCCAAGGTTCTGAAGAGACACTTCTCAGAAGATGATGTACAATCAATCAACAAATGCATGAAAAAATGTTCATCATCACTAGCAATTAGAGAAATGCAAATTAAAACCATTCCAGGATTTCATCTCACTCTAGTCAGAATGGCAGCTATTATGCATACACAAAACAATAAGTGTTGGTGAGGATATGGGGAAAAAGGTACACTCATACACTGCTGGTGGGACTGCAAATTGGTGCAGCCAATATGGAAAGCAGTATGGAGATTTCTTAGAAAATTGGGAATGGAACCGCCATTTGACCCAGCTATCTCTCTCCTGGGTCTATACCCAAAGGACTTAAAAACAGCATACTACAGGGACACAGCCACATCAGTGTTTATAGCAGCACAATTCACAATAGCTAAACTGTGGAGCCAAAAACCTGGATGCCCTTCAGTGGATGAATGGATAAAAAAAAAATTGCCATATATACACAATGGAATTTTACTCAGCAATAAATGAGAATAAAATCATGAATGTGCAGGTAAATGGATGGCATTGGAGAAGATAATAACACTAAAACAAACAAACAACAAACTAAGTGAAGTTAGCCAATCCCAAAAAAACAATGCCGAATGTTTTCTCTGATATAAGGAGGCTGACTCATAGTGGGGAGGGGGAGCATGGGAGGAATAGATGAATTCCAGATAGGGCAGAGGGGTGGGAGGGAAAGAGAGGAGGCAGGGGATTAGCAAGGATGGTGGAATGTGATAGACATCATTAGCCTAAGCACATGTATGAAGACACGAATTCGGTGTCAATATACTTTATATACAAACAGAGATATGAAAAATTGTGGTATATATGTGTAATAAGAATTGTAATGCATTCTGCTGTCATTTTTTCAACCAATAAAAAAGATTCTAAATGGAATAAGTTACACTTCATGTATTTATAATGTCAAAATTCACTATTATGTATATCTAAAAAGAACAGATAAAAAAGAATATATTTATATCGATATACATATATATGTACTTTTATCCAATTAAAAAAAAAACAGAGTCATTTTGAAGAGATTAGATGAAGTATCAGCTTCAAAATCAGATAATCAGAGTCAGATATCTGGTTGAATCCCAGCTCTTAAAATTACCAGTTTTGTGACCATGAGTAAATTACTTAAATTCTTTAGTTGTCCATATTTTTCATCATAAGTGTGTGATCAATTATTTGCAGAGCCATTGGGAGTATGAGAGAGAAGAAATCAAGTACAGGCAAGATCCAAAGAATGGTTTGACGACTTGCTTCTATTGTTTCTGAATTTCTGATTCTCTCTTTCCACCTCTAGGTCTTCACTTTCTTTCTTCTCGGTGGTGGTGCCCTGCTGCTGTAACTCTGGGGATCCTTTGCATGGGATTATTGGTGACCATCATAATGCTGGGGATGCAGTGTAAGTACTGAAATAGGTGGTATGAGTCTACATTTATGAATTTATTTCCTAACAATTACAAAACAGCTTTGATTTAGATTTGTTTTAGAAAAAATGTTTTTAAAGTGAGTGGGAAGATGAATGGGTATATTGTGTTAATCCCTTAAATGGATAAAGACATGAAATAAAGAATACACATGGTAAAATATTTTTTTCATTTTCATAACTTCATCGAGAAAGTCTATATAAATCCAAGAATGATGGAGAGTAAAATTACTTGACGTAACTAATCCACAAACTCACTTGAACAAACGCAAGATGAATTTCATTAACTCTTGTTGAGATTTGATGAAGATGATTAAATGTCCTTAAAAATCAGAAATAGTCTAAGTAAAGCATTTTAAACTAAATGTACTTTAAATTTATAACATGGTCATTTAGGAAGAGAGTGTACTAATAGGAAAAGCAGAAGTGAAAATAAGGACAAGAATATCTAAGAAAATTATACCCATCCATCTAATTTGCATATTTAGATTGTAGATCTGAACTATTTCAAGTGGCTGGGATCCAATGTATTAAGGTTTTTGAAGTGCTATTTGCTTCTGAGTTGTTCAAATTCATAAGATATTCTTTTTTTCTTTTTGAACCCAGGGGTGCTATATCACTGAACTATATCCCCAGACCTTTTTAATTTTTGAGACAGGGTGTTGCTAAGTAGCTGAGGCTGGCCTCAAACTTGCAATCCTCTGCCTCAGCTTCCTCAGAAGCTGGGATTACTGGCCTGCATCACTGTGTCCGGCTTTATTTTCAATCTATCAACACTAAAGGCCTTTTCCTAATGGTTGGGAGAAGTGTCCTAGACTAGGCAGCACTGATTGGCAGAAATCTTCTTTGAAGCTTTATTGCTTTCCAACAGATTCAAGTCTGGTTTCAAGTCAAGGGATCCCCTTGAGATTGCAGCATCAAGCTTCTAGAACTGAGATCTTTTACCCATAACATTCATTGCTGCTTGATTTCACAACCTTAGTTTCAACTCCACCCTTCCTAAAATGCACTATGGCAAAAATAAAAACAAAAAATGTTTTGAGACTCTAGTGACACAGTAACTTAAAATAATTTTGGGGGTGGCTATTTCAAAATAGGGCAAGTGTTCTGGTTCTTAAATAAAATTAGGAAGCCTGGAAAGTTAGACAAAATGGGAGGGGACAGAGGAGATTTAACGCAAGAATTAAGACACAAGTAGAATAAACCACTAATGACAATTCCTATTAATAGTCACTGAGTATGGCGAGTGTCTTAGATTGTCTGCATTTTATTTTTTTCACTGTGGTGTTACTTATTAATTTTAATTTGTGCACAACTCTAATAAAAAAATACTGGTAATTTTTTTATCCTAAGTATCAGAAAAGTTCCCCATATTAAAAAGACACTGCATAATTTCTGATGAAATCTGGATCATCTTCCAGTAGACTTTGAAGTGCTATTTGCTTCTCAGTTATTCAAGTTCATGAAATGTTATTGTGGATACTTACCTGTTGTCAAAATTGATTATTTGATTTTGTGAAAATTCAGTGGAACTATATTGGGGATTGGAAATAGAACCCTGATTCAGTTCTACTGTAGTATCTCAGGTGTCTGATCTCCTCAAACAACACCAAGCCAACCTTACACACCAGGAAATGATACTGGAGGGACAGATTTTAGCTCAGCAGCAGGCAAAAAATGCTTCTCAGAAGTCACAGGAGGAACTCAAGGAAATGATAGAAACCCTTGCCTTGAAGCTGGATGAAAAATCCAGAAAGCAGATGGAGCTTCACCAGCAAAATTTGGATCTCCAAGAAGCTCTGAAGAGAGTGGAAAACTTTTCAGGTATTGTGGGAGGAAAGAGGGGGAGTAGCAGGTTTTGTGTTCAATCTTTATTTTTTATAAGTATTTCTAGGCACAGAATTGTCATACTGACATTTTCATTCATGATTCATTCATTATTCATTCATAATGGTCTGCATCTGGAAGTTCTCTATTTTTGTCATCTCCACCCTACCCCATGTCAAATCCTAGAGACATCTGATTTAATGAAGCCCACTATTTGGTGGATTTAAGATTTTCTTCCTTAAAAAAAGAGCTTCTTATTTCTTTAAAAACTCTTGTTTTTTTTTTTTTTTTATTTCTCTGGAAGAACCCCCTCTCATCCTCACTGCTTGCCATAGGTACTTACTTCTTTGCATTCTACTGTATCTTAATCATCAGATTTCTTTTTCTTTTTTTTTTATTGTATTTCCTACTTCCTAAGGTGCAAAATGATTTTTCATATGAAAAATTATAGCCAAAGAGAGTGAGTAATTGCTTTTAAGTTTTTACTTGCAAAAACAAAGAAGAAAGTTGACAACCTTTCCTTTTCATTTGGAATGTTACCGGTGGATGATATATATATATCATTATATAATTCAATTAACTTTTATTTAGTAAGTTAGTGAAATTATTATTAATTGGCAAATGTTTTAGCTGCATGTTAAAAATTATCAATAAAATTTTAAATATAAACAGATGAACTTCAAAATACAAATACTTAACTGAGTAGATCTTAATGTTTATTCAATTACTCAAGTAAAACAAACACCCTGGCACTCTCTAATGATTATGTTAATCTTAGAAATGATTAACTAGGTTTTCATTGATGAGAGAAAACCCTGAAACACTGCAGGGGTAACAATTTGGAGTCTCACTGTAAATGATAAAATAGGAATGTACATCTGGAGAGTACACACAGCAGCAAATGAACACAGCTTTAGGTTGTATACTTATGAGAACTCTTTCAAAAATGTATATAAAATCAGTTCCTTCATTTAGCATTCTTCTTTGTAACTTTTAGTATTCAGTACAATTTGAATTGTTTAGGGCATGACTGGGATTTTCAATTAATCAGATTATTTTTCTCTTTTAGAAAAAACTTGAGTGATCTCCTTACAGATTCAGCAGGATAAAAATTAAAAGTTACTTTTACTTAATGACTTTAGAAGTCATCAAAGAATCAATCTATGCCCCAATACCTTCTCTCATTCTAGTTGCACTGTTGTGTTATTAAAGAATCAGCTTCCAAAGGCTGCTTCTTCTCAAAGTGAGTGTTGTATGGAGCAAGGGCTGAGCCAATGATCTTAAGGCTCCTTTGAGCTGGTAACCAATCATTCCATGGTTTCCTGTGATGTGGGCTTGATCTGTGAATGCTACATAATAAGCCAAGATAAGACTGGGGGTTAGCTCAGTGGTAGAGTGCTTGCCTAGCATGCATGAGGCCCTGGGTTGAATCCCTAGCACCAAAAGTAAATAAAAAAGTAAACAGATGAGAGAGAGAGAGAGAGAGAGAGAGGGAGAGAGAGAGAGAAAGAAAAAACATCTAGTCTTGAGATATTGTCCATTTTTCTGAGGAAAATTTTCATGTACTGGAAAAGTTTATTAAACAGTTTATTATAGTTCTGAATTAAGTGCATGGTTTACTATGCATTGCTTTACTATACATTCACACTGAGTGAAACATGAGTGAGGATTGAGTAATGAGGGAAGCCCTAGTCAGCATTGTTTACCGCGATATTTAGAAAGGATCTGAGATGGCTAGCAAATGTTTACTGAGAACCATCTAGGTGTACCTGCCCAGAACACTAAATCACAGATCTGATCATTTTAATTCAAAAACAATATATTATTAAAAAAATTATAGGCATGTACTCTGTTATCTAGTTCATCTTGAATGAGCTTTGGTAGTTTGTAGCTGCCAAATGTCTTCTTTGATATAAGGAGAGTAACTAAGAACAGAGTAGGGACGAAGAGCAGGAGAAGAAGATTAACATTAAATAGGGATGAGAGGTGGGAGGGAAAGGGAGAGAGAAGGGAAATTGCATGGAAATGGAAGAAGACCCTCAGGGTTATACAAAAGTACATACAAGAGGAAGTGATGAGAAAAGGAAAAATAATACAAGGGGGAGAAATGAATGACAGTAGAGGGGGTAGAGAGAGAAGAGGGGAGGGGAGGGGAGGGGTGGGGGGATAGTAGAGGATAGGAAAGGCAGCAGAACACAACAGACACTAGTATGGCAATATGTAAATCAATGGATGTGTAACTGATGTGATTCTGCAATCTGTATATGGGGTAAAAATGGGAGTTCATAACCCACTTGAATCAAAGTGTGAAATATGATATATCAAGAACTATGTAATGTTTTGAACAACCAACAATAAAAAAATTAAAAAAAAAGAACAGGAGACATAATTACAGATACTACAAATATTAAAAGACAATGAGGGGGGCTGCCTAGCATTCACAAGGCCCTGGAGTCAATCCCCAGCACCACAAAAAAAAAAAAAAAAAAGACAATGAAACATTTTGAAATTTTATACCAATAAAATTAGCAATACAGATGAAATTTCTTGAAAGCTACAAACTACCAGATTTCTTTTTCTAAAGAGTCTTCTTGTCCTTAAAATTCTTTGCCCGTACTTCTGCATTAGACTTTATTCTGTGACACTATGTGAATGTTCACTTCATCAATCTAAATAGAATCAATGGAGGTAGACTTGCATGCAAGTGTTAGGTAGATACTTCACATTAGACAAAAATATGAGGGGTCTAAAAAGTCCCTTTATATAAAAAGAATTGAATTGATTTCAGCTTTCCAGGACTCACAATCTAGAAGAGAGAAATAGTAGCATTTACAAGATTATTTTTAACTTTGATATTATTACAAAAGCTATCTGCGTTATTTAGTCTTTCTGTGGTGTGTAATCCAAACAAGTGTATGATTTTAGTCTTAGGGAATGTTTGAAAGTGTGACATGGAGTCACTTTCAGACATACATTGCTTTCTGTGAAGCGCTTGAGTGCCTTGGTCTTAGGATTAGTAGCTAAGTCCACTAATACACAGATTTCTCTCATTTTTTTCTTGTATAGCTCATATAAGTTCAAATATGTAACTTCTTAGAATAAATATGACATAATAATTGTTCACAGATATCTATTCCTTCATTTTATACAAAATGAGACCAAGATAAAGTTAAATGATAAAAATGATAAGTGGTTTTGTGTAAAGTTTTGCAGTTTATAAATCCCTTCCCTGTTTACAGAGTAATTTAAATTTCCAAAATAAGCAGAGATTTCTAGATAGGACGATATTTAGCAAGTGTCATACATATATTTAATCTTTTTTAGGGAGGGAGCTTTCAAAGAAATAAATGAACACAGAGCTCAAAGAAAGCTTGGAGGAGGCTTTTATATCAAGGGCAGGAATATTTACATAATCAGACATAGCTATATACCAACCAACAGTTTATTTCATAGGCAAGACTGTGAAACATTTCTGTTTTTATCAGTTGAAAATTGTATGGGATTAAATATATGTCAGGACCATTCAGAACCACCTTCCAGGGATGTCAAGCATGGACAACTAATTAAACTCAGTAAATGGTATGTTTGGTGTGGGCAGATACACCAGGTAATGTGTTACACTTCTTGACAGTGTCAGATAAAGGCCACTTAGTAGATATACTAAATAAAGTTTTTCTTTCATCAATTAGCTTTGAGAAGATCATAAATAAATAAATATTAAAATACCATATGGAAAAATATGCAAGTTTTGTCTGTCCTATAAACAAGGGTGTTGTCTTAATGCATATATGAAGAGGGAGAGTGATTATTTATGTGTTTGCTTGAAGTCATTAAGCTAGTGAGATGCAGGGGCTTCACAGTAATGGATTTTACACTTAGCACCAGCAATAGCAGTGGTTCTCAGACCTTAGTAAGCAAAGTGCTTGTTAAAAATGGCAGATTCCACATTGACTCCAAGATTCTGCATCAGAAAGTCTTGTGAGTATCACTGAGAAATGTGTCCTGAAAGAGTTCAAACTTAGAAATTTGAGAGGTAGTGTGTCACAGTGATTAAAAACATAGACTCTAGAGTTAGACTGACTAGGTTCAAATTCCTCTTTTCTCTATTTGAGAAATGAAGAATAATAACGGAGCCTACCTCAATGAGTTGTTATGAGGACTAAATGAGTTCATATATGTGAAGTACTTCTAGTGGTTTCTTGCACATGGTAAATAAGATTTGTGTCTTTTTCAAGTTTATATCTCATAATATTATATGGTAATTATGTACATTTTATATAGTATTATAATGTTAAGTAATATTATATGTATATTTCATGCATACACAAAGAAAAAAAGTTGGTTTCAATTCTATATTTTAAGTGTTTTCCTTATTTTGTCAAAGTTTGTAAACTTGCCTAAGCTTTCGACCACAAAACTGATATTTTTGACACTTATATAATATGAAAGGCACGTTAAGAGGCTAAGATGGTTGCATTTGTTGCTTTCAACTTGACCCTTTGCATGTCCTTCTCAATCACTATCCTATTTTATTGCTCAGGGTCCTCCTGTTTTAGCCTCTTTGATAAAACCTATTCTTAAATTATCTTGGTTTATGGCACAATAAAAACTGAATTAAAATGTAACTATTTTGAAAGATTTTATTTTTTTTCTACACTTTGGTAACAGTCTAGATCAAAGGGCTCTGTCTTCCTTAAAATGTCATAAACTTAGGCAGAAGACAACACTAAGGATGAGAATGACACTAGTGATAAGATGGCCCGGGGGGGTGGTTGAAAACATTCATATTCTCACTGACCTTGGCACATTTTGCATATTGCTAACTTCCTGAGTTGTGTTTGCTAGTCTCTCTGGGAATTTTGCTGCTGAGAACCTTCTTAATATTTGAGATTTTACTGAGGTTGAGGTCTTCATTTTGCATCAATATATTATTCTCCCTAAAACAACTTTGTCCAAAAGAAGTATAGTGTGTGACACTATGTAACACTAAACTTTCTAGCAATCATATGTATAAAAAGAAGCAGATTAGTTCTAGTAGCATATTTAGGTTTATCCAAAATATCTGAAATATTTATTCAATATTAGTATAAAAATTACTAATAGGATATTGTCCATTGTTTCATACAAAGTTTTCAAAATTGGGTATGCATTTTATCTTTATAGCACATCTTAATGCAGACTAGCCACATATTGTCATTGTCTCAGTCAGCACATGTCTAAAAGTAGAAGGCACAGTATTTAGGCCTAATCCATTATTCAAAGATGTGTAGTTTTAAAATTCATAAGCCTAAGTTCTTAATAACAGAGTGGCTATTAAATATCCATTTTCCAACTCTCACTTCCATTATTCCATACATAACTTTAAAAAGTAGATTGGGTTCTAAAATCACATTGCAGCTTATCCTATTTTTTAACAGAGGAAGTGAAAATGCTAAATGAGAAATAAATTTAGTTATTAAAACAAATGGAGAAATAAAGACCCTAAGGTTATTTAGGTATTTGTAGAGTACAGATATATTTTAATGAAGAAGAAATGGTATGCTTGTGAGGGGACTAAGGCTATAATTAGTCACATAATTGCAGAAATATTTGTATTCAAACATAACTCACTGATTAAGTATACAACACTTCCCAGGTCCTTGTCCCCAAGATTGGATCTGGCATGAAGAAAGCTGTTACCTATTTCCCTCTGGACTATTTAATTGGGAACAGAGTCAAGAGAACTGCTTGTCTTTGGATGCCCAATTGCTGAAAATTAATAACACTGATGATCTGGTGAGTGTTTATGAATAATTATGGGACTGGAGCATTGATAGCAACACAAATCTAGTTTAGGACCTGGGGGGAGAACCACTTGTTGGAGAGCCAAAATAGCTGTTTTGTAACATCAATTCAATCAAATCAGAAACATTACTCTCCACAGAATTTCATCCAGCAAGCAATCTCCCATTCTAGTTTCCCATTCTGGATGGGATTGTCACTGAGGAAACCCAACTACGCGTGGCTCTGGGAGGATGGTTCTCCTTTGGTGCCCCACTTGTAAGTTTCTTATTCCTTTTGATACCCCTTTTAAGTTTTCTGTTTCTTATTGTTATCTACTTTTAAAATTATTGCCACATTCTACTATTGACCTCATTTGCCACACTGAACCTTGGGGAATTTGCCAAAGTCTCTTTCTTCACCTTTCTCACAAAGGGCTTTGCCCATTTACCCTTTCAGATCTCTCTTGAGCTTTTCTTCCCATATTTATTGATTTGAAGTTTTAAGACAAAGCTACGTTTCTGAAACAAGGTGGCAGTAAATTTAATTTTTTTTTTTTTATCTTCTTCACCTGCAGGTTTAGACTCCAAGGTGCCGTTTCCCAGATGTATGCTTCAGGCACCTGTGCATATATACAACGGGGAGCTGTTTTTGCTGAAAACTGCATTTTAGTTGCATACAGTATATGTCAGAAGAAGGCAGTTCTACTGAAAGCACTGTGAATTTGAAGGACCTGGATAAAAAGGTCTTTTATTCTGGAAGTTAAGCTATTCTTCATCTTCACTTATGTACAAACCATGAGAGCCCTGAGAACTGAGGTGATGAGCTGGCTACAGAAACTGACTGGGTTTTTTCAGAAACTAAGACTAGGAATCCAGCTGCCTACTGCCTTTAGATCCAGAGTTGTAGATTCACTTTATTTATCATCTATCTATCTATCTATCTATCTATCTATCATCATCATTGTCTGACATTTTTCAGCTAGTGTGTCCCAAGCCTCCTTGCTAATTTTCAAACCATCTTCCATTTTCTATTTTAAAATTTGGCTCCTCTCCAACCTTGGGAACCATCTGCTCAATGTTCTCTGTCTTCCCCCACCCTTCTAATACTGCATAGAAGACAGAACATAGAGAACTTACCCAACTATAGACAGAAGGCAAAAAAAGGGGAAATGGACCTGGTAAACAGTGCCCATGAAGGAGAACTAGAGAAAGACCGCACCAAAATCAAGAAGCTCACATTCTCAACTTAAAAGCCATTGTCTTTTTAATTTTGACCTATTTCTAGACTCCACCATTTATACATGTTCATATTCCCCTCAACCTTTACCACCACACACACACATTTTGGGACAACTGTGGTGCCCCAGGAAATAATTAGTAATTGCATGGTCTTTTCCATGTACTAATTCACAACCCATTATCAGTTTCTGAATCAGTTATTATTTCTTCATCTTTTCTTCCTCCAAAGGACAGTCTAATAGCTTTAACCCCTCAAAATAGCATTTGTTAGAATCTCAGGATATATGACCCAGAGGCAAAAATAATAGAATTTTACCCCCCTAAATTACATTCTTCTCTACAACTCTCTTATGAGATACTATGAGAAACATAAAGACTAAAAAATCAAGACACTCAATTGTAGAACAAACTGAGCCAGATATGTAAATATTGCTGAATAGAAACAGATGAAATTAGAAATATCTCTCCTATTTTCAGAGCTTTCCACCCCCTACACAGGCTATTTTCTTTAAAAGAACCTTTCCATTTGCTATATATAATCTATCATCAAATATGTAAATATGTTATAATATATATCCAGCATCATTATACACAATATGTATAATGACATCTGTATGTTTTTTAAATAAAGAAACTACACAAGTATTTTGAGGGTTTTTAAATGGGGTTATCTATGTACTAATTTTTTAGTTTTGAGATCTGTGTATATTTGGGACAAAAGCCCTTTATCTGATATGTGACTTGAGAATTTTGGTTGTCTGTCTCTGCCTTCTTTTCCTTCTCAAAACTGTGCACTCACAAAAGGAGAAGTTTTCAGTCTTGATGAAGTGCACTTCCACGTTTCTGTTGTTTAAGAACTCATTGCTTAACTCAAGGCCACAACATTTTTCTCCTATTTTGTTTTTCTGAATTCATGGTTTTAGGATTTACACTGAAGTCTATGACTTATTTTAGAGTAATTTGTGAGTTATGTATTGAAGTTCACTTCTTTGCTTGTGGATATCCAATTGTTTTAGTAACATTTGTTGAGAGGCAATTCTTCTCTGCACTGCTTTTGCATGTTTGTCAGCACTACTGTTCATGCATATGTGAATTTATTTAAAAACTCTTTACTCTTTTATGGATGTATTTATTTTTATACCACTTCCACCACACTATTTTGAATACTGAACTGTTATAGTAAATCTTGAAATCACATAGTGACAATCCTTCTATTTTGTTCTTTTCAAAGAAGTTGTTTTGGCTGATTTATTTTTTTTCTTTTTTTTTAAATTTTTTATTGTTGGTTGTTCAAAACATTACATAGTTCTTGATATATCATATTTCACACTTTGATTCAAGTGGGTTATGAACTCCCATTTTTACCCCGTATACAAATTGCAGAATCACATCAGTTACACATCCATTGATTTACATATTGCCATACTAGTGTCTGTTGTATTCTGCTGCCTTTCCTGTTCTCTACTGTCCCCCCTCCCCTCCCCTCCCCTCCCCTCTTCTAATTTTGGCTGATTTATGTCATTGTATTTCCATATTCATTTTTGAATTGACTCATCTATTTTTATAAAAATCTTTTGGAATTTTGATTTTGATTGCATTGAATCTACAGATAAACTTCAGGAGAACAACATCTTGAAAATAATGATTCATCTGATTTCTAAGCAAAGTACATTATTTAGGCATTCTTTAATCTAAGTAAAATTTTAAAGTTTTCTCTGTAAAGATATTTTACCTATTTTGTTAGATTATCATTATGTATTTTATAATTTTGAAGTTAAAGTAGATGACATTATCATTTGTAATTTTTCTATACAAATATGAGTTGCTAGTATATAGAAACACAAGGGATTTTTTTTTGGTACTAACTCTATCCCAAAATACTGAAAAATTCAGTTCATTCTCCAAATAATATTACACATATAGAGCACAATTTTTCATATTTTTGTGTATAAAGTGTGTTCATGCCAATTCATGTCTTTATACATGTACTTTTTTTTGTTCTGTTGTATTTTCTATATAGGGAATCATATCATTTGTAAATAATACACTTCTGGTTTTGTTTGTGTTTAGCTTAAAGATAAAACCAGCCCTTGTCACTCCATCCTGGCTTTAAGTAAAATCCAAGATAATTCTTTTGTTATTAGGTACTTTTAGCTTCCCATTGGGAGCTACTTTATCACTGAACAAGAATTTGTGGAGACAAAGCATCTCTCTAAAAAGAGTCTAGTCTAAAACTGGCAGGTGAATTTCTCGACTGTTTTGTGTCTGGTAGTTTCTATTTCAAAGTTGACACAGCTATCTTCTTGAGCCACGCTAACAGTGCCTGTGAATCCTTTGCATTCATGCTTATTACTCCTTGGTTCTCCAATCTAGGCAGGCACCAGCGCATTGATTCCTAAGCATTAGCTCTTCAGGCGCAAGTTCCCTGATCCCATCTATTCTGGGGACATCTCTTTCTGTATACTGCTTTGTATAGTGGCCAGTTATTTAAATGTTCCCATTCTTGACACAATTTAAATCAAGTCTCCAGCTATCACTCTTTTTTTTATTTAATTGATTTTATTTTTTTAAATACACAACAGTGGGAAGCATTACAATTCTTATTACACATATAGAGCACAATTTTTCATATTTTTGTGTATAAAGTGTGTTCAGGCCAATTCATGTCTTTATACATGTACTTATTTTTGCATTACAATTCTCATTACACATATATACCACAATTTTTCATATCTATGTATATAAAGTATGTTGACACCCAATTCGTGTCTTCATACATGTACTTAGGATAATGATGTCCATCACATTCCACCATCATTAGTAACCCCCTGCCCCCTTCCTTACCATCCCATCCCTCTTTGCTATCTAGAATTCATCTATTCCTCCCATTCTCCCCCTCCCTAACTGTCACTATGAGTCAGCCTCCTTATATCAGAGAAAACATTCAACGTTCGTTTTTTGGGGGATTGGCTAACTTCACTTAGCATTATCTTCGCCAACACCATCTATTTACCTGCAAATGCCATGATTTTCCAGCTATCACACTTGCCCTGCAGACTGTTTATGAATGCCCTGTGAGCTGACTGACTTTTACATTCCTAAAGAGTTTTTAAAACTATAACCTCAATGATTGTTAAGCAACTTGAAAATTTCGAAATATCTGTTCTCTCATTCTTTTCGTAAAACTTTCCTGATTGCTGATGTAAATAAATTATGGATTATGCATGCATTTCCTTAATTAGAAATGAACAAGGGTTCTGAATTTGACCTCTCTGAATTCAAACTCTGGTCAGTTACTAAATTTCTTTCTTTTTAAAAATATCTTTATTTATTTTTTTGTGGTGCTGAGGATCGAACCCAGTGCCTCACCAGTGCAAGGCAAACGCTCTACCACTGAGCCACAGCCACAGCCCCCTAAATTTCTTTCTTATCTGAGCAAGTTTCCCTCTTGATGCTTTGATTTCCTAAAATGAAAATGAGATGAATGCTTGTAGCTATCTCTTACATATCTAAGGATTTAAAGGGATAATGTTTATAGAGCATATCATATAGAGCCTAGAATTTCATAACTGTTGAAGAAATCTTAGCTATTTATACTATTTATTATTATTTTTAAAATACCCTAAACATGTTTTGGTTTTTGTTAATGTATTCTTAACCTACAGTTAAGCCTGAGTTAATAAGTGTTTAGATTTGGTCAAAGATAACCTAAAGACTTATTAACTCAGACTTGATGTATATGTAAAGATTGCTTAGAATTCTTTTTGTTGTTTCTTGAAAAGTGTGCTGTGGAATGTAGTCTGTACTGGTACTTGTTTCTCTAACCATAAAAAGTAGTGGTCCTGGAGAACATAATGCTAAGTGAAATATGCCAGACTTAGGGCAGTCTCACATTTTCTCTCATGCGGAATCTGGGTAGGGTGGGAAGAGACAATGAGAGAAGAAGGGAGTCAGAGGAAGGGAGTAGATGTGATCAAAGTATGATATATGAATCTATGACTATGCTACAAACCCCATTATTCTGTACAATTAATAGGCAGTAGTAGAAAAAGAAACGTTAAGGAGTAGTTTTAATCATTTCTTTATTTTTTTTCACTGTAGAGATTTTTCTGAGGTTTGTTTGGGCTCCATAGAACATTCATGTTAGCACATGAATAGATGTACAAATGAATATAATTTTAAAGATTGGATTAATTCAATCTATTTTTTATAGCAACTTTAGCCTGTTCTGCTTTGGCAGCATGAGCCGAATATGTACATTTTCCTAAGTCTGCTAAATATTTTAAAACATAGCAAGAAAAATGAACAAATTTGAAATATTCAGTCTTTCTACCTTAGTAATGTACCTCCTTTATGCCTGCATTTATTTCCTATATCCTCTGAAACCCTACCCCTCCACAGTAGGCAAAACATTATCCTGTGGAAGAGACTATGAACCAGAGAATTGACAGACCACTGGTTTCCTGGGAGAAAATTTTAAAGAATGAGAGAACAGTGAGGAATTCTAAGCATGGCACAGTTGGGAAACTCGGAATTCTAACTAGAAGTATTATTCATCACTTGCTCTTGGACTTCAAGGCAACCTGAGGATTTTCACAATTATTAAATTTTCCCTTGGTTATAACATATCTAAACTTAATTATTCATGTATATTCTAGCCAACTGCCACATATCTCAGCTCTTCCTGAGTTGCCTAATCCATCAGGAGCATACCTGACTGATAATTTATAATTTGACTTTTAGAGAATAAACAAATCAATAATAATGTAAATAATTTAAGTTGAGTAAAACCATGAAACTGACAGCAAGAATCCACTTCAATATATCCATAAATGTAAAATCATATCTTTACTAAGCTCTTTTCTAAGATAGCTTATGTAGCACAGCAAATCCCAAACACTGACAAAAGATCATGATTTGTAAATGTCATGCCTGTTTTATTAAGCATGTATGTTATATTTTTGAAATGACGTAGACTGTCTAATATGTAATTTTTAAAAACCTGACTATATTTTTTTGGTAAATTATATACAAATATTAAAGTCCCAGATGTTTTTGCTTTCTAAAAATTGTTCTAATTTATTTTGACAAAAGAATATGAAGTTTCTTCTTTTTTAAGTTCATTTATTCATTCATTTGACAATTCTCTAGTGAGGATTAGTTCACAGGAAGGCTCTTTCTTTCTTTACTGCTAACAGTGCAGACAGCAATGCACATACATAGACACTATTCTCATGGTGTTTACAGTCTAGTATGGAGGAAGAAAATAAAGAAGTAAATTAAAAGAGCTATATATATAGCTGGCTGTGGTGGTGCACACCTGTAATTCCAGCTACTTGGGAAGGTTAGGCAGGAGAATTGCAAGTTTTGGGTCAGCCTCAGCACTTTAGGGAAAACTTATCTCAAAAATAAAATAAATGTATGAATAAAAAGAGCTGGGGCTGTACCAGAGCTTAGCGGTAGAGTACTTGCCCAGCATGTACAACGTTCTGGGTTGCATTCCCAGCTGAAAAATAAAACAAAATAAAAAGCTGAATATATTTATTTAATACAGTGTAAGAACTACTGTAGTCACAAGGTTAATACTAAATAGGGAAAGTTCCTTTACCTTTTATAACTTGTAATTTGGTAACAGAAATTAAAATTAAAAATAGAATAAGCACATATGATAATTATTGAATTCAGCAGGAGCTTAGAACAAAAGCTTACTTAACAATCATAATTCCTTAGGGAAAAAGAAACATAGATAACTTTAAGCAGAATGAAAGTAACATTTTTATCATATTCAAATCTTTCCTGCTTAAATTCTTCTTTTCTAACTAATTAATTCATTTTTATTAGATATATATGACAGTAGAATGCATTTTGATTCATTGTACACACAATTGCAGCACAACTTTTCATTTCTCTGGTTATACATGATGTAGATTTGCACCATATGTGCAGTCATACATGTACCTAGGGTAATGATGTCCATCTCATTCCACCATCTTTCCTGCCCCCATGCCCCCTTCCCTCCCTTTTGCCAAATTAAAGTACCCCTCCCCCACATTATGGATCAACATTCACTTATAAGAGAGAACATTCTGCCTTTGGTTTTTTGGGGATTGGCTTATTTCACTTAGCATGATATTCTCCAACTCCATCCATTTACCTGCAAATGCCATAATTTTATTCTTTTTTAATGCTGAGTAATATTCCACTATGTATATATACCACAGTTTCTTTATCCGTTTATCTATTGAAGGGCATCTAGGTTGCTTCCACAGTTTAGCTATTGTGAATTCAGCTGCTATAAACATTGGTGTGGCTGTGTCACTATAGTATGCTGATTTTAAGTCCTTTGGGTATAGAGAGAGGAGTGGGAGAGCTGGGTCAAATGGTGGTTCCATTCCAAGTTTTCTAAGGAATTTTTGTACAGATTTCCAGAGTGTTTGCATCAATTTGCAGTCCCACCAGCAATATATGAGTGTGCCTTTTCCCCAACATCCTTGCCAACA